TTCCTTGGTGCAGACAACTATTTTGTCACGTTCGTTAAGTACAATACCTATTTCATCAATATTTGTTTGGAAGCATTAATTCCATCGTAATATGGTGTTATATATGTTTACGAACTCGCTCAAGGATGGGATATCTTTCTCACATTCGCTAGCCATGGTTCCGGTGTGATAAGCCTATCTACAGCTTTTTGTATCAAGCAGATATCTATGTGCTTCGGGTAAGTGAATTTCATTGGATACGACGGCAAGCAACTGCATCCAATCAAACGTAAGATGTTCAAATTTGAACGCTGTTCCTACATGATCGAGATATGAAAGAGCACACAGCTTAAATAGACTGATAAATAAGCTCTTTTCAACTACTGGTCTATGTTTGCATAAATACCTTTCACTCAAATAGGCCTGTAACGGCTTCCCTCTGGTATATAGTCATACTTTCGATGGTAAACGTTTTAGGTCAATTGCCTCCACTATTTTCGGCTGATGTACAATGCATCACGATATTGGTCATTGGGCACTGCATACTAAGGAGAGAACTCATAAATTCCAATAATTGTCGCTTTGACTAAGCAAAAGTATACCTGGTATCACGGTACCAATTGTTTTTCCATAGATCTCAATGCTAATGTTTTGTGAAATAAATATACTTTCTATCCTATCTCGGTATGCATGTCACCCACTGCCACAGAGAACAATGTTAGATTGTCAATTTGACAAGGACAGAAACAGGTACTCCATTTAATTTAAGAGAGATAACTCTGCTTGAACTAGACAGGTGTAAGAATTATCTAGTTACACCAGCCACATTTTCAGTCATGTGTACCACATTTTAAAAAATCTTAAAAAATACAAAATGTGATCTAGATATGAATTAACATAATTTCACATGTTGCCAAGAGGCTCAACTTTTTTTTAAGCCTAACAGAAAGTATAACTCTTACATAATGCACCAATCACACCTAGTTTTGTTCTTTATTTCTGAATACAATCCCTACACCTTAAAGTGCCACAACAGTGTATCTACATTTATTCAGTTCATTTCTTAATGAATAAGAATATATATTAAAAATACGAATGTAAAATATCATATTGAAAAATTTTCAATAATAACTGCGTGGGAACCTAAAGAATATCGCGTTTGCACCTGTCTACGGAAATAACCGAATGCAACCGCCTTCCAATTCCGGTATTTAGCGTAAACAAAGCGTGACGTCTAATTATGAACACTTATAGTAAACAAAGGCAGAGTTGGTATCGTCATATCATGGAAAAGTCTTCAGAAACTCAACATGAAAGCTGTGATTCTGACGGAAGTGAATTGTCACTATCCTGCGCGTCTTCGCCATTCGAAGATTCGGAGGTACTAAGCTTGGAAGATTCTGATAATGGTGTAGAAGCGGCTGCCGGCTCCCAAATTAATCCTTACCAGTTTGAACCCTATATTTCCAATACCGACGAATCCGAAATTACAGATGATGATGATGATGAAGAAGACAAGATAGAATGACAGACAATTCATGGTATTTGTTTTCTGAATGTCTGCGGTCTTAAGTTACGTTAGATATGTGTATCCGACGATATTTTTGAAATACTTTTCAACAGTTTCATGTTCGTTTACAAATTTGTTTTTCTCACCTGTAATAAAGGCTGTAAAAATGTATTGCATTTCATGGGTAGAGACGTATTTATACGTTCATAAGTAAAACGTACATCGGCTCACAGTTGTAAGTTTCGAAAACCTGTCAACAAATTGATACAATAAAACTTTTGATTCCTAGGAGAAAAGGCACAACATTACCCTCATGACATTAAAAGTGAATTCATATTCTGTACACTGTATAAGATAAAATTTCAAATTTCTCATATGTATGCATATAATTGAGTTTTGTAAACTATGAAATAAACCTTTTTTTTCCTCCGGTAAGCATCAACTTGAAACTTTTATTTTCATTCAGATCAAATTCAATTTTACATTGTTGTACTAAATGTTTTACCTTTTCTTGACTTTAGTCAGTTTGTGTCATTGTAATGTGTGTTATTGATGTCTTTATAAATAAATTTGACAAGCACAGCACTTTGCATTAAAGAATAAAACTCTACTTTAGGTGTAATTGTGGGCATTGTTTGGTAACGCCCACTTCAAGAGAATGTGTATGTTGTTGTGACATAGAGAAGGTCACAAGTGTCCGCAATGAATACCAGGGGATACAATGTATAACAGACCAACCGGGGTTCAGACCAGTTTGTTTCGACATCCATGTTTTAAAAGTTGCATACTATCAGTATAGACAACAATTTGGAGAACGTCCAGAACAAGGAAATGAGTAAGTAAAATGAGTAATTTTTCATGTAGTTTTGTTGTCATAAATTTTGTTTTCATGATCTATGCATCACAGCCTAGTATTGAGTTTATTAATGCAGCCATCTGGTGTTGTACAATTGGTACCGTTATTCCATCTGTTTGATCCACCAAGGTGTCGATAGGGTTACCACATTGGAACCTTGGCTAGCAACAATAGGGATTTCTGGGAAGCTTCACTGTCGCGGTATGATGGAGCTCCTCAGCTTTGAAACTATCAAGATATGTAAATGTATTGCAGAGCGTGATGTTATTTACAGATTCTTGTAGAAAATCTAATAGATGATTTTATTCATTCTTTGTTCGTTTATGAACAAGCATTACAACTGATGCTAGCAGATTCAGATCTTTGGTATGAGTTGGATCTAACATGTTTTATTTTCTTTAGTTAGGTTTCTTGTTTGTAACAAGGCTATATTAATTACTTATTAATTGCTTATTAATTCCGCTATCCTCTTTGTGGACCAGATCCGAGTGGTTTTTTTTTTTTTTGCTTCGACGAATGTTGATTCCTTTCACTTGAAAAACGTTTTAAGATCTCTTTTTTTTTCCTTTGTTGATACAATTCCCTTCCGTCCCAGCATTAAGTTAGAAAGGTTTTGATGTGACACCGTTTTTCTAACAAGTTTCCCCATTTATATGTTTTTGTTCCCTTTCCCTTTTCTGTTGGTTTTGTGTGTGTGTGTGTGTGTGTGTGTGTGTGTGTGTGTGTGTTCAATTTTGCAGGGTTGCTTTTTGTTTTTCGAGTTTTATTATCCTATGAAGCGTGGGTAAGTATGAATTCCCTCCCCTTTGCCTAGACTGGCAGTGGGTACGTTTTGTATAGACACTTTCACTTAAAACTTAGGGTCGTACTCCCGTCCTGTGGGACTGTATGTCCCAGAGACGGTTTCTTCAACTTTTTTGAGTAGTAGTTTTCCGAAGTGACTCTGCTAGTGTAGTAGTCCTGTGTTGTGTAATTTGTGTCAGTGTTTGTTTTGTAAAATCTCACGTGTTTGTTAGGACCGCATATTTTGATCAAGTGATTTCGAGTTGTATTCCTTATCTATTCTTATCTAATTATTTTGGAGTAGTTGTATTTTATGCCAAAAGGGTGCATACCTATCTACACCTTCACATGAGTTCAGAGATTTATGTTGACATATCTTGATGAAGAAGTAAAGACAGCTATGAAAGCAGATTATTGGGGTAAATTTTGCAGCTACATCTGGCTCTAGTTTTTCGTTTTGTTTCTTACAATAATATATTTACGCATTTGCTTCTCCAACCAGGCCCTTATTAAATACTTTTAATATCAGAAGTAGCAAGAACTTACTAAACTTCTGATTCTCATCTGTTGACTCAGCGACGAGAAATCGAGGTAAATTTTCCATGGCTCGAAAGTTTCCTTTTTTAATTGTTACCTGTTCCTTTTGAGACCTGGTTTCCCACTATCGTTTTTGGTTCTGTTGTGTTTGTTTATTTATCTTATAAAGTGAAAGACAAGCGATGCATCACTCGTGCTACCGACCCGAATCGGATCCCACCAAGGAGAAAGATAAATTGATGTTGATTAATTGTATTTGTCTTGTCACGTAGTGATATACTGGAGTAAAGTGGAAAAGGGGGAATCTTTATTCAATGTGTTCTTACCATTGTAGTCACAGCCACGTGATTTGCAAGGTTTCGCAACGGAACATAATGAGATTTCATAAAAGGATAGTGACCTTTCAACGTCTTGAGGTCATAGAACCTAAACTTTTCATTTATATGGCCCCTAAAGTCTGGCGAGTCAAATTGATCGGTCAGACTACAGCTGAAATTGAGGTCGGAGTAGTGTGTTGCATCGACGTGGCAATAATCTGGCCTGTCGTCTGCTCAACTACCATGATTCTCTTATCTAACCACTTAGAAGACAACCCACGGCAAACAAGTTGCATCCATTAATCGTCATTTACGGCATGCAGTTGGGGACGTCCAACCCATTCGGCATCCGCGTGCCCGCAAACGGGGCGGAGATCATAGATGAAGTGAGCTGGGCACATCCAATAATAAGATGATGGAAATTTATCAGTGCATATTGGTCAAAGTTTGCTTTGATTCCCGCCTCAGTAAGCGAGTTCATTATTTGTTTGTCAAAAGCATTAACTATTTGTAAGATGGGGGCTTTGAAAATAAAACATGATATCAAATGACTTAGTTAATTTGTACATACGATATTTAAAAGAAAGTAATGTCTGTCAGCATATATTGCAATGTTTTCACTAAATATTTAACAATCTTCATCCCCTATTACTACATATACAAGATCATTTCGGTTTTGTTTCCTAGAAAATTGAGTTTTCCTTGATAGAACTCGATACAGCGATAACTGAAGTGTCCGTGTGCCTGAAAACACATCACTTGGTCTGTAGATACATGTACAACAATTTCCATCCTTCTGTAATCATAATTTCGGCTACAACCTGCTTTTAATTCTCAAGTGTCGAATTTTCTTCCTCTAAAAATAAGTGATATGAAACTATAACCATTTATTATTGTATACTGTTATGTAATATTGTTTAAATCAAGTGTCTATGAAGAATTTTATGTTTTGTAGATAATTATTTTAACGTCTTTGAATCTTTATTCCTCATCTTTTTTTTTTACTACTTTAAAGAGAGACCGCACCGGTGGCCTAGTGGTTAGAGCGTTCGCCTCGGGTGCGGAAGGTCGCGCGTTTGACCCCGGCCGAGTCATAACAAAGCTTCTAAAAATGGTACTAACAGGTGCCTCGTTTGGAGCTCAGCATTAAGAGGTTGTATTAGGACTGGTCAGCCTGGTGTGACTGGGTGAGGCATGATGCTATAGGTCTGAGACATGATGCCAGTGTGCTAGACATCACTATAAACTACCACACTGCAAACTAATTTTTTTTAAAGCACTGTTAAAAAAATCTAAATCACACACGCACCTCTATAAAATGTCGCTCATGGACACATTTGTAATTCTATTTTTTAATTGTAAATATATATTATACTAGGAGAAGATGTATTTACTAAATAAATGACTAAAGATAAAAACAAAAAGAATTAATACAAATTAAGCATATAAGTTACCAATATTATTTATTGTAGGTAACTGGTGAAACTGACGAACAAACAGTCACTGCATATATGTTACACGTACGATTCTCAACTGATGTCTGTTGAACGCTATTCTTGTGAACATGTTTAAGGGGTCGTCCGTTTATTATGTCAACAAACTGGGGTTTGAAGAGTGATGTGATTTGAGTATGGTGTTGTTTTTTTTAACGTAGCTTTAACAATTTCTCAGTCATATCGCTAGGATGTCTACAGCGTGGCAGTTTGAAGTGATGCCTAGCAATGGGGCATCATACCGCAGACATGTAGCATGATGTCCCACCCAGTCACATTATCCTGACACTAGGCCGACCAGTCCTAACACTAACACAAACCTTTTAATTCTGAGAGTCAAGCGAGGCAGCTGTCTTTGGTATGACTCGAACGGGGATCGAAAACAAAATAACGTATCCGCAGGCGGAGGGGGGTGTGCGGGTTGAAGAAATTTGATAATTGTTGACAATGGGGAGATGGGAGTTCAAGAAAAATTGACGTCAACAATGTTATTTTTTTACCAAAAATTTAATAAACCAAAAAAATAGGAAATTATTCGTTGTGTTGGTATAGCACACGCACACGCACACGCTCGCCCGTCAACAGCCCACCAGTGTAGACCTAAACTTAAAGATAGAAGCTAGAATATAAAGTCGCGATTTTTTCATGAATTCAAAGTGTTATAGTCAATTCGAAAATCAGTTAAGCAAATAAAAAAAATGTAGTAAAATTTATTTGTATTTCCATAATTCTATTTTTAGCATAAACGCCAGCCTTATAAAATATTGTTAGTCTGTGGAGGGGGGGTGTACATTTTTTTGACATAATTTTATTAGGAGGGAGTCACTGAAAGTTTGACAGTTGTTGACAAGAAAGGGTCGGGTGGGTAAAATTGCCTAGAAATTGTTGACATAATTAATGGACGTCCCCTAATATGGTGTTAGGCTTTATAATACAACAACATTCATTCTTTTTGATTAGTATTCTTAAGTCTGCTTTGCACTAGTATCACTATAGTATTAAACAGAATTAACATATACATAAATAGCATGAAAATGGTAAAATATAACATCTATAAATTGTAACGTATTATGTAATTTTACTGAAAATATAGAAAAAAGAGAGGATAAAGAAATCTGTGCGAGGCATAGAGGTGGTGACATTTCTAATCTTCGACACTGATCAAAGAAAAGATGGCTTACAAGGCTATTAAAGATATATACACACCCTTCCAAAACAGTTCCTACCACAAATATTGTAGTATTCGGAAACCACACAAATAAGGGTTACTGCTTCTAAAACCATTATTTACCTCGGGTTGAGTAAATACTGTACCGTCCACAAACCTTACAAATTAGTGTACCTACTTCTGGGACCTCTATTAGATTGGATACAGTAATTACTGTACTATACATAACCCTTATCAGCGATAATGCTCGCTCCTATAATATCAGTAACTTGAATCCAGTAATTACTGTACTATACATAACCCTTATCAGCGATAATGCTCGCTCCTATAATATCAGTAACTTGGATCCAGTAATTACTGTACTATACATAACCCTTATCAGCGATAATGCTCGCTCCTATAACAGCAGTAACTTGGATCCAGTAATTACTGTACTATACATAAGCCTTATCAGCGATAATGCTCGCTCCTATAATATCAGTAACTTGAATCCAGTAATTACTGTACTATACATAACCCTTAACAGCGATCATGCTCGCTCCTATAATATCAATAACTAGAATCCAGTAATTACTGTATCATACATAACCCTTATCAGCGATATTTATCGCTCCTATAATATCAGTAACTTGAATCCAGTAATTACTGTACTATACACAACCCTTATCAGCGATAATGCTCGCTCCTTATAATATCAGTAACTTGAATACAGTAATTACTGTACTATACACAACCGTTATCAGCGATAATGCTCGCTCCTATAATATCAGTAACTTGAATCCCGTAAATACTGTACTATAGATAACCCTTATCAACGATATTGCTCGCTCCTATAATATCAGTAACTTGGATCCAGTAATATTATACGAAATAAACCATCGGTAGTGACAGTCCTTGCTTTTAGGACCTTCCACATTTCGAGTCAAGCTGGATTTATAAACTGGGACTATCACTACCGATGGTTCTGTATGGTACAATTTTGATATACATGAGCATCGATATGTGCCATTTTGCATCCGCTTGTTGTATTTGCCATTTACTATTTCTATTCTGCAAGAGAGAGAGAGAGAGAGAGAGAGAGAGAGAGAGAGAGAGAGAGAGAGAGAGAGAGAGAGAGAGAGAGAGAGAGAGAGAGAGAGAGAGAGAGACTTTATTCTGTTGTGTCTGACTTTTGTATAACACAAAAATGTTAATATTCGGTATTCTACTTGTAAATTAATAAATATAAACATTTTCAGAATAATGATGAATATTCTTATCTGCACCTAAATAGCTTAAGCACTAAGTTTTCTTGCATTAGAAAGAAAGATGCGGAGTTAATTACTCATTTTCTGTTTCAGTCAAAACGAAACTATTTAATTGGGTTAAAAGGTACACTTACATCTGAACGACCAATTCAGAGAAAACTTTTGAGGTCTCCTGATATAAACATCATTTTCCAACTATCTCGTAGTATTCTCGTTAATTTAAACTAAATTTATGTCTGTACAACACACATGTTCCAATGAATACAAAATTTAAGTCAAGTGGATCTGAAAACCTCATATGTTCAAAAAATATTTAAATAGTACACAACTGTTATTAGATCATTAATACATAAAACAACATCCCTAAAGTTTCTAAATCCTGAACGACCTGTACACGTACTCAGTCAGTGTTCATCAGCCTTATAATCGAAACTGTTGCCTGTACTGAAGAAATTTTGTCTCCATATTTTGTTTCAAATCTCCTCAAGCTGCTGAAGAAAAAGAAATTAAATGCCACTATGGAAATATCCCATCATTTTATTTTATTAAAATTCAAAAGTATAATCAGTATACAACTTACTTCACACTCAGCATTAATGAAACTATTACTATTATATTTCTACATTAAACCAGCTAATTTTTCACTCCATTCCCATATTTTCTTCCTTGCTCCTTCATCGGAAGCTGCTTGACTCCATGGCTCTTGCTTGCAGCTGCCATAGTAATTTCCTGAAACGCCCTCTAGTTCCGGTGCTACAGAGCAGTAAATTACAGTCTGGCTGCCTTCCGTCGGAGTTCGAGCTATCATTAGGAAAAGCGGAGAGAAAACCGTGTACAACCAACCAGGAATCATGTATCTTCCCAGATTTGTCCGAACAATTCCAGGATGAACCGTATAAACGCAAACTCCAGAACCTTCGAGCCTGTCATGTAGCTCTCTGGCAAAGAGAACATTTGCAAGTTTGGTGTCAGCATATGGTTTTCCTTTCTTGTATTGCTCACAGCTGTTCATATCCTCTAAGGTTACCCTTCCGTATTTATGCAGTGAAGACGACACAAAAACTATCCTGCTGGGTTTGGAACTTTTTAATTTGTCGAGTAGTAAGTTAGTCAAGAGAAAGTTTCCAACATGATTTACTGCCAGATGTGTCTCTAAACCATCTTCTGTCGTAGCATATGGACAGTTCATGACACCAGCGTTGTTAATGAGGACGTCAACTCTCGACTCTTCTTTAACGATGTCCTCACAAAAAGTACGTACTGACTTTAGGGATGCTAGATCCAGCTTCTTCACCACAAGTTCTCCATTACTTGTGTATCTTCGGATGTCCTTAACGGCAGATTGGGCATTTGCTTCGTTCCTGCATGCAAGAATTACCCTTGCCCGTCTCCTCGCCAAATCTAGCGCTGTGGCTTTTCCTATCCCACTATTGGCGCCGGTGATGATGACTGTTTTACCAACCATTAAAGCCTTGCTTTGACAACGACTCCCGTACAGCATTAGGCGCCTTAGCAGCAATATGGCGGCAGATGCGGCTCCGAAATAGACGACATTCCAGTACCAGGCTGAGCCCATTTTATGATTTTCAGGATTTGCGAACTAGTATTTACTGTCATATCTTCTGCAACAATAAAAGATAAACTAATGTTTTCAGAAGTCGGAAATGAGCAAACGTTTCTATTTATAAGTAAATTATAAGAGGCGACTTTATCTCATGTGTTACTGAGAATGATGCATAGTATAATACCCTTCTGGCCTAAGTTCGAGCCCTTTACAACACTAGCTAATAGAGCTTAAATAACTGGTTCCTCAAAGATTTTTTAAGCATCTCCACATTTAGTAGTTTCATGTCTCATCACCAATCGACTGTCGCTCAACTCTAGATTTCATGCTAGTTTTCGTTTACGGGAAACATGAAATGAATTACAGTAAATGCAGCAAAGAAAACTGCTATTACTTACGCTGCTCAGCTCTATTTGCATAGCTTTCTTACTGGACGTCGATTTGGACGATAAAGATTTCTGAAAGTCCCTCACACACCCCAAATAAAAGAAAAAACTAAGCTGACTAACCAAAATCCGATATGCTATTCTAAAATGTTTTTGATTTTCTTATATAGTCATTAACCATTTGTAATAGTGGATGACGCGATCAGATCAGCCATATAATAGGACGGGAAATCAGG